ATTAGGTTCAATTTCTAAAGATTTATTTAAATCTACAAGTGCTTCTTTATATTTTTTCATCATACAATAAGTTTCTCCACGATTATTTAAAGCAAGTGTATTGTTGTGATCGATTTTTAATATTTCATTTAAATCTGTGAGCGACTTTTCATACTTTCCCAACATACGATAAGTTTCTCCACGATGAATTAATGCAATTAAATTATTTGGATCAATTTCTAATGCTTTGCTTAAGTCTGTAAGTGATTCATCATATTTTCTCATCATACAATAAACTTTTCCACGATTACTTAATGTATTTGCATTACTTGGATCAAATTTCAATGATATATTTAAATCTGCAAGTGATTTTTTATATTTTCTCATTTTACAATAAGTTTCACCACGAATTCTTAATGTATTCGCATTATTTGGTTTAATTTCTAATGAAATATTTAAGTCTACAAGAGATTTTTCATAATTTCCCATCATGCAATAAGTCATTCCACGGAAATTTAATGTTTCTATATTATTAGGATCAATTTCTAACGATTTATTTAAATCTATAAGTGATTCATTAAATTTTCTCATCATACGATAAGTTTCTCCACGGTTATTTAATGACAATATATTATTAGGATCAATTTCTAAAGATCTATTTAAATCAACAAGTGAATCTTTAAATTTTCTTATCATGCGATAAGTAACACCACGATTATTTAATGCAAATAAATTATTAGGATCTATTTCTAATGATTTATTTAAATCTGCAAGTGATTCTTCATACTTTCTCATCATGCAGTAAATCACGCCACGTTTACTCAATGCATCTACATTATCCGGACAAGATTCTAATATTTTGTTGAAATTTACAAGTGATTTCTTATATTTTTTCATTTTAAGATAATGATTCTTCTATTATTTAAACAATGATTTTTTAAAAATCCGTAGCGCACGTACCTACTTACTGAAGAGGTATTTATTTATAAATATTTCGTTACATTAATATATACTAACCATAAATGGTAAAATCTATAAGGCAGCGTGACTAGTTCGGTAACACAATGATAGATTTCATTTCCCTATTTAATCTTTTTGACAGAATCTATCGCTATAAAGACTACTGTACTGCTTCGCATAATCAAGCAAATACGTGATAATCAAATATCTGATCAAGTCGGACATTAAATGAATTAAATTATATATATATAACGACTAGCATGACAGGTGGCGCTTACGCGCCACCTTTCTTATTTAAGCAAGTTAGTAGCAGGTGAATAAATATTTGATACTGTAACGAATAATTTTTTCCTGCGTCTCTCACTTCAATATTTGTCTAATTAATTAAGTTGTCACATACATTCATAAACGTATCGTCATATCTTACCTTTATAATTCTTATGTCTTCTTAGTGGCTTAATTCATGTGAATTTCCCTAGTCACGTATACACTCTTGCATAAACTTGATAGAATGAGTTGCGCATTGGAAAGCATGTGGGATTCAGAGTTATAACATAGATGTTATATTCTCAGCATAGACCTTATAAGAAATAAGAATGTATTTAAATAGTTGCTCTTGCCCTTAGCTCAGGAGGGAAGAATGCTCTCTGAAATCGCTTCTAAATAAATAATACATAAACCTACATTCTTTTATATAATAAATGCCTACTAATCATGTAAAATCTGAATTCCTTAATTTGTCATCATACCCTGCATCTCTCTTACGTCAACCATCGGAGTTAAACTCAGCATGATTGTCAGAAGCTCTCCCATTCGATGGTGACAATGTTAAGTTACTGCATATTGTTGTATATTTGGTTCATACATGAGAAAATTAGTAAATTGGGTAATAAATGGACATTGTTGTTAAAGTAATTATAATAGACTGATATTATCAACCCATTTTCAAGCCACATGTTATAGTGATTGACAAAATTAGCCAATAAAATTCTATGAGTAAATAATATGTACAAGTTTTTTTGTGTTACATGCATAAGTCTCGATTTTTACATATACAATAATGATAAGTCTTTAAGTTCACGCGCAAAAGGCATAAAAAAGAATCTGTACAATTTTTTGAAATAAAATAAGTATTTTAGCATTACAAGACTGTATATTTAAATTTATCTTAAGATAATAATATATTAATTATATTTCTAATATTATCATTATAAAATATTTTTAATTTGAAAATTATTTTAATCAAATATTTGTATTAGAAGTTACAAAAGTTTTTGCCTTTATAAATTACATTTTTACTCAAGTTGCTTTAATACTTTATTAGCTTTTATAGAATTCTTGTCATTACTATTTAGTTTTTTACTCCAGTAGAATAATATTAGTCTTAGAAGTAATATGTTTATGAGGATTTGTGTTATCATATATAAGATCTACTAGGTTTTATGTTTCTTTAAAAGAATTCAATATAATAATATCATGAAGATAAGTTATTAGTGTATTTAAATTATCAAGATTATTTTTTGATTGAATCAAGACCTGAAGAATTATTAAGTTATTTTGCAACATTTATAGACTTCTCAAAATAAACATCAGAAAATCTTTTAATTCTTGTTTGTGAATAGCAGCATCATTTAGTTTAGTAATATCAATAGGATTAAGTTAATCTATTACTTTAGATATCTCTTGCTTTTAGTATATTGAATATATTAAAAATATATTTATATAGTTAAAAAAATTATTGAATGAATTAACATTATTTTTATTATATTTTTGACTATTATTTTTATTATCAGTAACTTTTTTATCTTTATCACTATTATTAGTAGTGTTACTATCATTGCTATTATATTGCACAAAACTTGCACTTTCATTATTTTTCAATTTATCATCATATAGATTGTAACAAATATCTTGTATTTCTTTATAAGTTTTATTATAATGAATATCTTGTGTTTTTTTATAAGATGTAAAGATTATTTTAAGTAAATAAACATATTGATCTTGTTTATAGAGATCATTAATATAAAGTAATGCAGCATAAAGATGTTTGTATGCAATTTCTTTTTAAAGAAAATCAAAACATTAACAACAAATTTCTATTGGTTTTTTATATATACAAGTTACAGTATATAAATAAGTTAAGAAATATTTTTGAACTCAATATAAATATAAATATTTCTAGTTATTTATTCTATTTTATGCTTTATTACTTTTTTTATTTGGAATAATCTCATTGCAGATTTATTATATCTTAGTCTTGACTTCAGATAGGCAACTTAATGAAACTCTTATATTAGAATTTTATGATTTAATGGATCTATTACATTAAATTCTTTTTATCACTTTTCTTTTTTAAGCTTATGATAGCATAAAGCATATTAGTTTTTAAAATATGTTTCTTTTTTTAAAACTACTTAATTTGACTATTCTTTAAATATGTATTTATTTTCTCAAGATAATTGTTTGTTGTAAAAAGCTTTTCAAAAAAAATTTCAAAATATTTGCAGTTTTCATTCATTCATTAAAACACTAGCTATATATAAGATCTCTAGCCTATTGCATTTCTAAATATATAAAAAATTTTATTCTATTTTTCAAAACATTTTTTAAGTTTTTCAGTATTCTTTATAAGATTTTCCAATAAGTTTTTTTTTTTTAATTGTCTGGAGTATAGTAAAGAACTTTCTATAGATAAGCAAGTACCAAAAAATATTTTGGGTTCCACTTATATAATATATATTCAATCAGAATTTAAACTAATATAACAGATTAATATGAATCAATCTGACAAAATAGAAAATTCTATAAGATTAAATGCTTTAGACACTAACAGCATTTATTTTTCTAATATAATTACATACTATTTCTTTATTACTATTCATTGATCAAACTTCTTTCAATAAACTTTTTAGATATGCTTTTAGGATATGTCATTATAATATTATATTACTATTATCATTTTGACTTAGTTATTATTGATTTTATTTTTTAACATTGACTAATATAAAAGTAACAAAAAAATAGAATAATTTCTGATCATACTATTGATAGTAATTTCTATTTTTTTATATCAGTATTAGACATTGCAATAAGTTGACTAAAGTGATTAGAGTATCTTGTGAATTTTGGTTATAAATGTATCTTGTGAATTTTGGTTATAAATTTCACTAATTTTATCTCAAAAGATTATAAATAATTGTTCAAGAATCTTACTATCATATTTTGATAATGTTAGTCAATTACATAGAAAAGATGAAAAAAGTATAAAGGTAATAGGAATACTATTATTATTTTTATCAATAATCATAATAATGAATAAAAAAGTTTATATTTACTAATTTCAAAAATTCCATCAACAAAAATAAGATTCTAATATTTGTATTTTTATACATATTGTTGTTATTCTTGAGTATAAATGATTATTTCTAAATGCTATATTTTTTTTGTATAGAACTAATAATATAAACATGCTTCTTTAAACCCCAATAAATCTGCATATAAACTAAGATATTGTTCTAGATTTGCTGCATTATTTTTAATATTAATATTCTATTTTTTTTTAATTATTTGTTTTCTAATATTAATAATATTCATTGCAATCAACAAAGTTCTATTATTATCAATTAAAGTACAAACTTAAAATATTTTCTTTACAGTTTTAGTATTTTCTGCAAGTATATTATGGTTCAAACATTAAGATTTAGTAAGCTTTTAGTGTTTTTTAATATATAGCAAAACTTTGTATATTGGGTCATATTATGATTAAAAAGCTATACATTTTCTGAGAGTTTCAAGTATTCTACAACTATACAAATTTCATTAATATAAATAAATATTATAGCAAATGCAAAGCATTCTACATATAAATAATATGTAGCTAAATTATAAAAATTAGATGTAGCTTTTTTTTTATAACTTCTACAAATATATTATTTAATAACTTTAGTTTTAGTAAATTGCCAAATTAACTATTTACATTTTATATTATTAAAATTAAGATCAAAACCATGTTTATAAAGAAATTAGTTGCATTATCTGATATTATTCTTATTTAATAAATTCTATTGAATTTCAACTACTTCAGATGCTTTATTATCTAATAAATAAGTAATTGCAATTTTATTATTGTTATTTAGTAAAAGATGTAAATCTAACTTTGCTTTAACATTTGGACTATAATTCTTATTTACATCTTCTTGCTTAGAATTTGTTAAAAACATTTTATTCTTAAAGACTAGAACTGGGTAAAAATAATTTTGTAGACTTAATGTTCTTTACTAATTCTAGAGCTTTGCATAAATGCTTTTTTAAGTTTTATAAAATTATAAAACAGATTTATATAATTTATTTAATATAATAACTAATCACTGATTTTTTTTTTATAATATCAAAAAAATAATGAATTACTATAATTTATATTGCAGTATATTATAGTATATTAGTAATTTATTATATAGATTATTATTTTAATATCACAATTTCTAATTACTGTATTAAAATTAATTTGATGTATTTGAACATATATGAATTCTAATATAAGATAAACATTATATTCATTCATTACTAACCAATTAATCTAAATAGAAGTTTACTATTTTTTGACATAAAGAAGACATTCAATGTTATTAAAAATTTGCAAATATAAAACATGCTAATAAATATCTTTTCAAGATTAATATATATGTACAAATGTTGTATTAGTTTTAAGAGATTAAACAGCTATATTGAAAGCAGACTTAATAGATCAATTTTTGATTGATTGTAGCAGGTTATTAGTTTTAACAAAATTAGTTTTGAGAAGAACAACTGTATAATCTTGAATATTATTATAAAAATAAAATAGATATTAAAATAAGATATTCAAATATTGTAATTTGTACAATTAGTAATTTAAATATAACCTAAATAAGTACAGTTGACCTTCTCAAAACTAATTTTGTTAAAACCAATAATCTACTATAATTAAACAAAACTTGATCTACCAAATCTGCTTTTAATATAGCTGTTTGATCTTTAAAAATTGATGTTTACTGTGCATATTAATTTTGAGAGAGTTAACTATACATATATATTTATCAAATATGTATAATAATCATTAAAATATAAAATGCTTATTGTCAATTTAAAGCACTTTTGAAAAAGCAAAACTTTATTTTTTTAAAGCTATGATAATATTGAATTTAATATTGATATGTAAATTTAGGTTTCTGCTTTGCTTAAAGGCTAAAATATGACATTTTAATAAATTAATATTATTTTATTTATTTAGCAAAGCATTTCAAATTATTTTTAACATATTTTATAAATTTTGTATTTAATAAATCTAATTAACTAGCCAAACTATCTACCACCTAGTAACTAATTTACTTAATTGCATTCTAAATACAACTGCTCTTAACATTTCAACTAATCTTGTCTCTAACTTGCATAAAGAAATTCTTATACTCAACAGTTTCAAGCTGCATAACATTTTATATATATTATCTTTATTTTTATTTTATCTAGTTTATTTCTTACTAATCTTATTTTAACTATTTATAATACTTTTATTATTTATTATATTTTTACTTCTCTTTTTATAAAACTTTTTTTTATTTAAATCAACAAATATATAAATAGATATAAATTTCATACTGTATTTTACATTCTGCATAGTCTCAAACTATACTTTCCACGAATGCAAATCATTAACTCTTTCTGACGATCACTTGTACCAAAATTCTCTGATAATAAACTGGCAATAACTCAATAATTTATTAAGTAAACCTTTCCTGGC